GTGGCTTTATCTCGTCTGAAACCTTGTCGACACGTCAAAAATGATTTGTCCGGAACAATTCACTCCGCCGGGTATAAGTTTTGCAGCGCGGCTGCTCTTCAGCCTGTCTCGAAACGTTCTCTACAATAGATGCCGCTAAATTTTCAATAAGCAAAAAGAATCTTTTCATTTCAAAAAAGCTGACAAATCGCTTGTCCATGGCGGCTTTAGCTAGTGTCGAGTACCGATGTTATGATTTATGTTGATGTTATCTCCAACAAACAGTCCATTTTTGCCAGTCGGATCTGCACGCCGTCATTCTCAATAAATTGGCCTTCCCTAGTCTCCACTGCTCGATCTCCAATTATACTTTGAAGACTCTGATCTCATAAACCTTCGCACAAACACGATTCCAATAAATATCAGTCCAAAGCATTTGTAATCGGCTACCACAAATCAGATGAGACCAGATCTGTGACGCACGAAAACAAAGCATACCTGGTTTGATTGATGTTTCGAATGCTAAGTAATCAACACTACCCACACCGCGCCAATCAGAAGCTGCGTTCGTGGGCGAACGCAGTTTTTCAAAATCGTGGGGTTTGCGGGCAAGCGGTTCCTTCGTTCCCCTCCCCTTCCCCCGTCATTCATGTTTTTTTTGCTCTTGTCCCAGCTTTCTAGACGAACCTCGCGAGGAAACGCTTGCTACGCAGGCTACTACGACCATTAAAGTAATAAATGTAGGATATTTTTTGTTAGAAGAACGCCTTCTAAGTATCCCGTTTATCAATTTTATAAAAGGGATTCTACTTTATTGGAAAAAAACTGTAAAAGTAATTTAAAAAAAGACAAAAGACAAGATATATGGAAATCTTTAATGCCAAAAAGGTTTAACTTTTGTTCCTCACTAAGGAGCAGTTCAGGCAGGTGATAGAGGGTCAGTTTAAACAATTTAATTCATGGAAGAAATTTATTTGACTCGTTATTAATACGTTAGCGTTTCTCTTTTATTTTCGTTCAAATAACACACAAAGAGTTGTAAGGTTTGGGTAAAACATTATTCGAGTAATGATGCAAGCTCTACTCATCGCCAACTGTGTCTTCAACGCCTTCTTCAGTTTTACCGCCATCACACTGAACATTGTAACAATAATCGCTCTGAGAAAACCATTGACGATACCAAGAGCTCTAAAAATATTCCTGCTGAGTCTGGCTGTATCTGATCTTGGTGTTGGTTTACTGGTTCAACCTTTGTACATTACACGTCTTGTCATGATGATAAAAGAAAACGCTCAAACTCGAACTTTTGAGATTACTTTGAAATTTTTTTTCTCCACAAAGTGGTTCCTCGCTTCTGCCTCGTTCCTTGGTGTTGTAGCTCTAGCCGCAGACAGATTATTAGCTCTTCATCTCCATCTCAGATACCAGGAACTTGTGACTCAAAAGCGCGTTGTTGCTTTAGTGATCTCGATTTGGATCATAAGTGCGATTCTGATGTTGTTGTCTATATGGATTCCAAATGCTCTCTGGATTATTTTTGTACCTGTTACAAGCGTTTGTTACCTAACTACAGCCTTGTCTTATTTCAAGATCTACTTAGCCGTACGTCACCACAGCAATCACATTCACGTCCTGCAAGCACAGCTAGCACAGAATAATGAGGGAGATATGACAAATGCTGCGAGGGAGAGAAAAGCTGCAGTTGGTACATTCTACGTGTATTTGGTGTTTCTGATTTGTTATCTGCCATCCACATGTTTCTCGATTATCCTTAGAAGCGCTGGATTAAGTACGATGCTATTCCAGTTTGGACTTTATGCTAACACGCTGATGCTCCTCAATTCATCTCTCAACCCCCTAATCTACTCCTGGAAGATGAGACATGTTCGACATGCTATCATGGAAATACTGAGAAACATATTACCCCATCCAGACCAGTGACAAAAGAAAAAGGTGAAGAAACTCGGCAATACAGTGTATATAAAAACTTTATATAGACTTGAATGAATACTTCATTTACCTCTTTCATGGCAATTTTTTTCACCTAGGTAAGTTTTAGACTCTTTTCAGATTTTCAGAGCGTGCTCTCACTTCCTGAACAGCGGCTGATAATCGAGCCTAGGTATTTTTACTTATTTATTTATTCATTTATTTATCTTTATTTTTGTGTCTTACCGTACGTGTGCAAACCGTTATCTAAATTCCTTACTGCTGTTGGATAATTCATACAGGTAACGTTGCTCATAACTAAATTGTTTATCGCTGTTTAGTGTAAAAGCGCAAGGTTAGCTTCATAAATTAAACGCCAAAAAGTTGTAACTAAAAGTTTTTCATGAATTTCAGGAAATTATCAGAATCAAGAAATTTAAGTTATGGACACAAATATAATAAAGCGATAACAATGTTTTGAGTCAATTTTTCTCAGCTTAAATGAAATTGTTGTTAGCATGCGATGTGCTAGCACTAAAGAGTTTCCCTGAGTAGTAAAGGGGGTTGATATGGCAAGTAACCAATCACAGAGCAGTATTCTTTTGTTTAAGTTTTAGAGAACAATTCGAACAATGGAGCTCATTCGAATTCAGTACTT